ATCCCTCGCTGCCAGGGGTTCCTGTTTCTCGTACTTGGTGATCATCGGTGCTCCAGATAAGTAGGAAATGATGAACTCATCATCGTCGATGTCCTCCGCTTGTTCCTCGATGGACGCAATACCCGTTGACCCAAACCCATCCTGCCCGCGTTCGGTCTCGTCGACGCAGTCGGTTAGCGTTACTGGTGGAGTGCTTATCTTTTCAAGGATGAGCTGGGCAACTCGGTCGCCGGTTTTGACGGTGAATGGGAGATCAGAGTTATTGACCAGCAGGACTGAGACCTTGCCTCGGTAATCGGAGTCGATTACTCCTGCAGCAACGTCAATTTCTTTTAGCGCTAGACCGGACCGAGGTGCGATTCTTCCGTAGTGTCCTTCGGGGATGGCCATGATAAGGTCAGTGCCGACCAGGCCTCGTCGTCGGGCAGGGATGATGAGTTGATGCGCAGCAGAGATGTCATATCCTGCTGCGCCGCCAGTCTTTGTTCGGGAAGGGTTGCGTGCTCTGAGGTGGGGATGACGACGAATTCGTCCTCTGTTGGTTCTGGGAGTGGGGTAGTTATGGCCCTCTTTAATTCTAGCCGGGCCACTCGCCTTTGGTACAGGTCCATCTTCCAGGCCCTGGTCTCGTCTCTTGTCCATCGGTGGTTCAGCTCCACTCGTCCGGTTTTCCAGTCTATCTTGGGGTTTTCGAGTTTGAGCCACGTATGGCCGAAGATGATGTCTTCCTTGCCGATGCTGGCGACGTAGGCTTTGACGAATCGGGGTTCTCCGCTTATCTTGTAAGATAAGAGAGCTCTTCGCGTGATGAGTGCTTCTTTGTTCGGAGTTCCATCCACGTTGAAGACGGGGATGGGTCGGGGAAGAGGTTCTGTCCGAAGTCGATGTTCTCGGATGAATCTCGGACTGATGAAGATTCCAGTTGCGCCGCTATCGATGAAAGCGTGCGCCTCGACGTCTTTTCGTCCCACAGTAATCGGAATGTGCAGAGCGCGTTCATTTCGAACTACTAGAATTACACGGGACAGTGAAACGGATACGGGCAGTGGTTGCGTCGGCTCACCCTGCCCCTTCAAAAATCCTCCATCGTAAGTTCTTCATACAGCTCCCGCTTCTCGTCAGCGGAGAGTGCCTTGATTCTGGCGCGGAAGTCGTCCTTCCCAGATCCTCCCTGGTTCGGCTTCCCACCCCCTTGTCGTGCGGCCGCTTTCTTGCGGCAATCCTTGGCGCTGTGGCCCTTGATGTGGCAGTAGAAGCACAGGTTCCCATCCCTGTGGAGCTTCCGGTCAGCCTCATTGAGAACTGCTCCTAGTTCCCACTTCCTTCCTCCCGATGTGGAGGCAAAGGTTGCCGCGACTGCAGCGGCGTCGATATCCATTGGCTCGCCGTAGTCCCTGGTGTCTGTGACGGTGAGGGCCCCTTGTTCAGCGGCGTCGGCGTTTCGGACTTCGTCGTACCAGGCTTTCATGGTGCTGGGTCGGTCCCTAGCGGCCCTGGTTGCGAGAGAGACGTAGAGCTCCTTTGGAAGTCCTTTGACGAAGTTGGCGTGGAGAGTGTGGTAGTCGTTCTCGGTGCGGTTGTGTCACGAGTTGGTACGGCGCCTAGCCGTTTTTTAATTTTTCCTTTTCGCGGGCTCGAACCCGCGACCTCTGTACTACTTGCCCGATATGGACGCGTCGCTATCCACTGTACGATTAGATTAGATGGGGCGGCAGTGCACGGCACAGCTCGGGCTCCGCTGACACAGCCGCTCTGACTCACCGGCCCCCGGGGCCGCGTCGGCATGCTGTGCACGGACCAGCTGTGCATGGACCAATGCGCACAGCCTGCCCTTAATCTCCCCTGTATATAAGCCGGCCTCTGCTGCCCTAGGGACCTCAGTTTCGACCTCTTGTCCCTAGGTCAGTAAGCTCTCCTGTACCTACTTATCTTTCCTTACTAACTAATATATTCTTGTCCCTAGCCTTAGGTTTGAGCCTCGCTCACCATCGCTTCGGTGAGAACCAGTCGGACGCCCCTCGCTTCTAGATATTTCCCTGTCGCTTGACCTCAAGTCGCGACAGGTTGACGCCATTGACTTCAGCGTCCTTGAGCTGGGCTTTCGACGCTAGCTGCTCGAAGCGGGTGACGTAGTTTCCAAGGGAGAGCGCCGTCTTCTTGTTCTTTTGTCGTTCGGGCAGTCTCATCAGGATTTGGTGTGCCTTGATTCGCGTTCCGTGCTCGGGAAACGCTTCCTCGAGGGCGGTGGCGAAGGCTGCCCAATCGGGATAGACCTGGACTCCCCC